GGTTGAGCAGTATTCCATTGTGTATATATACTATGTTTTCTTTATCTATTCATCTGTTGAAGGACACTTAAGCTATTGTGAATTCAGCTGCTATAAACATTGATGTGACCACATCACTGTAGTATGCTGATTTTTAAGTCCTTTGTGTATATACTGAGGAGTGCAATAATAGGGTCAAATTGTGGCTCTGTTCCAAGTTTTCTGAGGAATCTCCATACTGCTTTCCAGAGTGGTGCACCAGGTTTTCAGTCCTACCAGCAATATACGAGTGAACTTTTTCCCCCACATGCTCTCCAACATTTATTGTTACCTGCATTCTTGATAATTGCCATTCTGACTGGAGTGAGATAGAATCTTAGTGTAATTTTAATTTACATTTCTCTAATTGCTAGAGATGTTGAACATTTTTTCATATAGATGTTGATCAATTGTATTTCTTCTTCTGTGAAGTGTCTGTTCGGTTCCTTTGCCTATTTATTGACTGGGTTATTTGTTTTTCTAGTATTAAGTTTTTTGAGTTCTTTATATATCCAGGAGATTAAAGCTCTATCTGAGGTTCAGGTGGCAAAGATTTTCTCCTGTTCTGTAGGATTTCTTTTTGTGTTCTTGCTTGTTTCCTTTGCTGTGAAGAAGCTTTTTAGTTTGATACAATACCATTTATTGATTCTTGATTTCTTGTACTTTAGGAGTCTTATTGAGGAATTTGGTTCCTAAGCTAACATGATAGAGATTTGGGCCTACATTTTCTTCTAGTAGGCACAAGGTCTCTGGTCTAGTGCCTAGATCCTTGATTCACTTTGAGTTGATTTTTGGGCAGGGTGAGAGATAGGGGTCTAATTTCATTTTATTACATATGGATTTCCAGTTTCCCCAGCACCATTTGTTGTAGAGGCTATCTTTTCTCCAATGTATGTTTATGGTGCCTTTGTCTAGTATGAGATAACTGTATTTATGTGGGTGTGTCTCTGTGTCTTCTATTCTGTTCCATTGGTCTACCAGTCTGTTTTTGTGTCAATGCTATGCTTTTTTTGTTACTATAGCTCTGTAGTATATATTCTTTTAATTTATTCTTGAGGTATGAACTAAGCATGGAAGGGTGGGCCTTGGGAAGAGTCCTACCTTTTTATTTTGTTGCTTACTGAGTTGAAGTTTGTGGTTTAAGACTTCCCAACTTCCCTTCTTGGGAGATTAGTGTGGGCTGGTTGGGTTGTAGACAGGGTGGTGAAGTGGCTGGCTGGGTAGGTGGTATAGTGGCTTGTTGGGCAGGCCTAGCTGGTGTACACTGGGCAGGCTAGGCAGCAAAGCTTCAATCTGGGTGGGCTTAGGGGAGAAGTGGCTTTCTGGGTCAGGTACGCCTGGCTGCAAAGTTGTGGGCCAGGCAGGCTGGGCTATGATTGGGTAGTTATGTCTGGTGGCCTACGTGGTGTGGGCCTGGTGGATCAGGGCCAGGAGATGGGCCTTGTTTGCCACAAAAAGCTGTGGGCTGAGCTAGGCAGGACTGGCAGTGAAGTGGTGGCCTGGCAGGTTGGGTTATGGGCCTGTGGCAAAGCTGTGGGCCTAGTAGGCAGAGTGGTGAGCTAGGTGGGAGGCCAGGGCATTGGGGGATGGAGGGTGGGGGGCTTGGGAAGATGCTGGACTGGTACTGGACCTGGTGGGCACTGGGGACCCAGGGATCCAGTGGGGTGCTAGTCCAAGGAGGGCCCCAGAGACTGGGATGGTCCTGGGACCTAGCAGGTGCCAGTCTGGGTGGGTCCTGGGAACTCAGTGGGTGCCAGACTGGGCAGTTGCTGGGACTGCTTAGCTGGCAAATTGAGAGCCATGTGCCCCCATACCCACTCTTCCAACTTCCTAACCCACCGTAGCTAGCCTTGTTAGCTCCTGAGAGCCTCAGGAATCACAGGGTTGGGGAGAGATGAGTTCTCTCTAGCATATCCAATTTGTGTTTCCCCTGGGAAAATGCTTTTAGTTTCTGATTTCCCATGGGCTTATTAGGCACAGTTAAGTCTTCATGCAACATAGCTGTGAACTCAGATCTGGGTTTCCAGTTCCTGTTTGTGCTGCCAAACTATAGTTCCATGGTGGCTCCTAGATCGGCTCTCTGCTGACAGAGATAAACTCAAGGCAACCTTCTTTTAGATCTGTTTAATGAGTTGAACAGTCTGTGGTTCAGCTAGGGCAGACTGCCCCTCCAGTCTCAGGATTTTTCACTCTAAGCTTCAGGGAGAAGCAGTATTCCCATTGCTTGATTTCTGGTTAGCCAAAGTAGGAGAAATGCTGCCTCACTCTAATCTGCCATCTCGTCCCTCCTCTTCACAGTCTTGATTGTTTAATTTGCTGTGCAGAAACTTTTTATTTGATTCCATTCTATTTATTAACTCTTGGCATTATTTCCTGAGCCACTATTATTTTGAGAGTTGTTGCCTCTGCCTATATGCTCAAGTATTGACCCTACATTTTCTTTTAGGAGTTGTATATTTCAACCAATCTTCATTTTACTATCTGTACTTCAGCTTCATCTACAACGGAAAACTATTGCTTTTATCTTTAGTACTTCAAATGTGTATGTGGGTAGTTTTGGGTGGGGTATGTTTAATAGGAATCTAACTCAAAATTCTAGTGCAGATTTTGTATGACATCTCCTTGTCAATTATTTGTTATTTTAAGTTAAAGCAATCTACTTAAATGAATGAATTATTGTAGTTTTTGAGCTCTTTAGTATCAATAAATGAAATCTATAAGTCCTGATAAACAGTTTAAGCTAAAATCTCCTCATTATGCAAACTCCAACCTTTAGTTAAAATACTCTCAATGATGATGTATTATTGGATTTTCTTCCTTTTTTTCTTTGACCATGGTAAATTATCTGAAAGTATTTTTTTTGTGTGTGTGTGTGTTTGTGTATGTTTCTTATTTTGAACTCTTACAAGCGTATTTCCTCTAAAGTTCCCATTTGGAGTTATGTAAAGCTCAAAGAGAAATGTGAAGAAGAAATATTTAAGAAGTAGAGCTAATATTTCTTAGTCTCTAAGAAATAAGTACAAGGGATAAAAAATGCTTTAGAATTAAATGGATTAGTTGGTAAAGTATCTCGTATTAATTAAAAGATACAATTACTTAAATTATTTAAAATCTTAGATCTGGAATTATTTTTATTTAAACATAGAAGAGAACAAGAAATGGGCAAGGCACAGAAATGATTATACAACATGATAAATATTTAATATAAAGGTTAATAAATTATTTTGAAAAGAACTTGTTTGTTATGCTACAAGAGAGGGAAAATGATCAGGTTTTCCCTATGTTGAAACTGATAGGTAGACTCTAGATAGACTTTTTCAGACTGTGAAAAGTCTGCCTATTCTTTGTTGTCCAATTCAGATTCCCTGATGTCTTCTATATCTGTCCCTCAATCAGGCTCACTGGGTTTTTTGAATTTTCACCGCATGTTACTTTTATCTCTGTTTTGCACTGTCTTTACTACTTTGCCTTGTGTTAGATTTAATGGTAGAGAAGAAAAAGCATAGACATTATAGTAAAACCCTTGTTCAATTGAACTTTCTGAGTCCCAGTTTACTCACTTGTAGATGGGAATAGAAATAGAATTCTGGTCATTCTTGTGAGGAGTAATTTGGAAAGCACAAACTACCTGGGGCTAAGTAGGCATTCAATAAATGTCAGTGTCCTTCCCATTTCTAAGTTTCATGTCTAGTTTCCCCTCTAATCTGTAAATTCCTTTAGGGTAGGAAATCTTATATTCATTGTGCCTTGAGCAGAGTAGGTTATAAATGATTATTTATTGATTATATTTTGCTATTCTGCTATGGAGGCTTAGTTCTGTAGTGTTATTTTCTATTTCTTTTTCCTCTATCATCTTGGATTGAGATGAACATGTTGCTTTCATGAAATTAAGAATTTAATTTCATAGAATGCCATTTTAATATGACTTATTCCATAGATATATACAGTAAGGGTCAATTTATTTCCCTGGAAATTTAAATGTATTCTATAAAATCTCATTAGCCTGTCTTACAGCATCATAGTCACAGTGGAATTTGGGTGTGTTTAAGATGGTGAAGTCTTTATCTGTGGAAGTCTATCTAATAACACAGAACATGGGAAATAAATGACATAAGGAAAGAGCAAATCCCAAACATCTTTCAAATTATATTACTTGACATTTTCAATCACTAACCCTACAAAGTGTGTTCTAATTTACTAAAATAGACCAGGAATTCAAATTCTTATGAGCTCCCTTTGCTTAATTAATTATTAGTAGCAGACAGTATTCTGTGATCTATGTAATTTGTCACCTTTGTATTTATCTAGTATCCGATTTAAAAATGAACAAGATCATTCTGATTCAGCAGAACTGACTTCATAACTCATCTGTGTTATAGAATAAATAAGTTTTGCTGAACATGTCACATATGCTTTGATCATCAAAGTATTAGTTTTCCTTCTCAAAATATAGTCTCTGAGAGATATTCTTTTCTGAAGTTTGCTGGATGACCTATTCTACATAGATTTTCTACAGAGGCAAGTCAGACCTCATTCCATTACAGCAAAATAGCATTCAAGCAGCTACCTTTTTATGATTTTTTTCCCTTAACTAGAATGTTAAAGCTCTTTTAATGCTTCCTCGTTATGAGTTGGAATTATTCATTCATTATGATGTTTTTCTTTAAAATAGCAGCAATGTATCCTAAAACATGGAAGGTTTTTTTTTTTTAATAGAAGCATGCTGTTTTCGTTAGAGTGAGGATTAACAGGCTTATCATTTATGCAATAACATTGTTTGTACTTAGAATGCAGTTATTAACTCTTTATAATTGTCCCTAATTATTTCACTAAAAGATAATCATATAGCATTTGTTATCTGTACCTTATAGATATAGATAGGAGAAACTGAGGCTCATTATTGACTCTCTGTGTTAGCTATCTGGGAAACTGAGAAAAATGTGCTGTTATCCTAACGATGTGCTTTCTTTTTTCATTTTAAGTTTCAAAGAACACTTGAGTGCCTTAAAAATGTTTCCAACAAATCTGATCTTCAGAAAACCTACCAGAAGCTTGGGAAGGAGCTGGAAGATCTGGATTATTTGGCTTTCAAACGTCAGCAGGTAGGAGTCAATACCTTCCTTTGTAGAAGTGCTGGACACTTTAGGATTCCTGTTGTCTTTCTTGTCAGAGGGGCAAGCAAGTCTGGGGAGACATACTCTCTAATGGTTGTGGTAGAAATAGCTTGTGCTGATCTGATCTGCTGTGTTCATACAACTTCATGCAGTGTTCAGTGTGCTCCTTATTTTTAGATGTATACGATAGTGATTTACACATGTGTTCTTGTACCTCTTTAAAAAAAAATTCCTGCTGGTTTGTGAAAGTCTAGCTATCCTTTGACTAATGATGCCTCAGCTGGCTTGGTCAGGTGGCTTTTATAATTGCCATGGCATACCCGAAAAGGAAAATCACTAAAAACCAGGAAAAGGCTGTGCATATACATAAAGAATTAAATAAAAATGTCATAAATCTGCCAAAACATGAGTTGACTTTTAGTTTTATTTTTTGATCTCTGAAGATGAGTTAACATTTACAAATGTGGAAGGTTAAAGGAAAATATACTTAACATAATTAATGAACGCATTTTTTTGCCTCCTGTATAGATCTTAAGACAAATCTAAAACAAAAATAAACTACAAGGTTTCTTTGAGAGTTGATGTTTTATAAAATTAATATTCACAATGATTACTTTTTGTGGGTTTTGGAGGTATTGTCACAGTAGATAACCATTCTTCCCATCTAGATTTTCTTGAGTTTCTTTATAGCCACTAGGTGTCAGGATTGTCAAAGTTTTTCTTTGGTCAAATGTTTATTCTGATCAGGACAGACAGTGAGAAGTTTAAATTAGGTTGCATGAAATTTGGGCTCAGTGATAGATGGCATCTAGAAAAATGACTAAATAACTGACTTGCATGGTCAGCCACTGAATCTTTCACTTAAGAATATTTCCTGTTAGTGTGGCAAAGGATGTGACATTCTTGCCGTTGTCTAATTCACAAGTGTTAGAGTGTTTCAATTGGAGTTTTCAAAGCAGGACTTCCTATATTTTGTTAAACCTTATTAATTAAACATGATATGGTTTAGAAATATTAGCCTGAGAAAAGAATTGTGTGTTAGGTTTTTGCTCTATCTCAGAGGTTATGTGGGCATTTAACCTTTTTTTCATCATTTCCTAGGTGTGTGATATATATATATATATTTACAGAATGTTCCAGGGTAAATGAATAATCTCTACACATACTTTAATTTATATGAAAAATGATAAAATATTAATTCATTATATATATTTTTAAAGAAATCAATGCTGGTCCATGTATTACCATGCATAGCAGAAGTAGTCACAGTTACTGAGAGCTACTACAGTGAGTTCCCAGATGCTGCTGCTTAAAATTCACTCTGTGAGTCACTACTCTGGCCTATGCAATTTTTAATACAGTTTTGTTTCCAAGATCATATTTTACCACCAAGGGGTATTTAAGTTGGCAGGCAGTAGTTACTGTCCTCTTCTTTATCCTTTCTCTTTAACACATTTTCAGTGATTAGATTCTTACATTAGCTAATTGTGAATTTGGAAAAAGGTGAATATTTCAAGGGCAGAAGAGTAGAACTCTTGCTGAATGGCATTGAGGGTGCATAAGTAAACTGCATGTGCATGAGGAAATAGGGACATGTGTAGTGTTTACACATGTATATATAAATTTTATATGCTTTTTAATTAAATGACAACTATATGTCACATAATAGGACTAAAACATTAATTCACTAAATATTTACAATGATATAGTGGGATTAGTTTTATTAGAACCATTTTACAGATGAGCAAAGTATTGATAGAGTTAAGTAACTCTTATTGTTGTTGGGCTAATAAGGCATGAAGCCAATTCAAACCTGGAGTGTCATCTATCCTAGATGTGCAGTGTTCAAAGAGTCAGAACATCAACTGTTCTTTGACTTATTGGAATTTGTCTTTTCTCTCCCGACCAATTCTTTTAAAACTTAAAAAACCTATTAAACACATAGTAGAAATTGTTGTTCTCCTACTGGAAAAGATACAGGTCTCTGTAAAATTGCTAATTCAACAAGAAAGTTTCTTTGTTATATGGCAGATTCTTTGTACTGTGAATTAGTCATGGGTCATTTCTCAGTCGGATCGTGTTTATCATTCTTTGTTGTGGCAGAATGTAAGCTGCATAAGGACAGAGACTTGTTAGTTTCATGATCTTCGGTGCTGTATCCTCTCTAGGCTCACATGTCTGACTCATGGCAAATAATAAATATTATTGGTGGTTGTATTCCTGTGAATGAAGAAGCAGCCAAAACTTTATCCTCAGATTATAGGCAACTACAATCAATGTGTTTGTTTCACTTTTAAAATTTAGAAGGGCATTAGATCTGAGCTTTCTATATGCCAAAGGCTAACAGAGTGCTCTCTGCATTGTTTTATTTTAGGTTTTCTTCTAACATATTTAATTTCTCTATTTACTTCTTCTAAGAAACAGAAAATGCCAATGTTACCTTAGCTCTGAATTATATATATTTCATATATAATTTGTATATAATTATGTATATACATTTTTATGTAATTATATATTTGTGTGTGTGTGTGTGTGTGTGTGTGTATATATATATATATATAT